CGCCAGTATCCCTTTAATTTAAAGAGCTGTGATTCCCAGTTTGTTTACATCAATAAATCTATCAAAATCAGAAGCACAGAACAGAAATTAATGCTCAATCATGAAGGTCAAAAGCCACATACATGACTTAACCGATGTGAAAACCGTTACCGTTGTGGAGAACTCTTTATAATTATTATTATTTGTCCACTGCCCCGAGAGAGGGCGCTACCAGCTTTCTCCCTCCCTCTTCCTCTCTGGAGGAAAATTCGAACTGGTTACTCGATTCCTGGCTGCCGTCGGTGAAGCACGCACTCACCTCTCTTTTCCTCCGTGATGTTATTGTAGCTGTAATATGACTTTCTTGATTTTTACTCATGCGGACTTGCAAACTGTAAAAATGCTCATCTTGTAACTACATGCAATGTGATTGTGTATAAGTGAATATATGTCATCCTAGAATTAAGTATAAATGTTAATATTACCGAGTCAGATTTTGTTAACATTCAACGTGCAATCAAAAATGGCATCCATTAACAACAGCCATACCATTTAGCAATATCTACTGGCATTTAAAAATTCAAATAAATCATTACGTACACGCGACGCTGGACTGTAGGTATTGATTGGAGCTTTTCACGTATATGTGATGCTGGGCTGATAAGAGTGGAATTGTTACATCGCGTATACGCGACGCTGGTCCTGAATGGGTTAAATGTATTCCTTTGCTTATATTTCTTTTAAATTGATACACATCATAGTTGCTAAATTTCACTTCTAATTTAATCAATGGAACACAAGGTGAACTCGACAATAACTAACTTAAATGAGAATTAACCACTTAACTGTTTCATTTTCCTGCCATATTTTGATCAAAAATAAGCATATTTTTTTATAAACAATTTTGTATTCTAATTGATTACATGTATTCAAATCGGCAGTCAAAACTGTTACAAGTGTTGCATTTTTTAATTGCGCCGAATGATGAAACTGTGGAGCTGGAAAGAACAGTTTACAGGAAATAAATGTGAAAGAAGTAAATTCCCTGTAAAAGGAAATTATGGCGGTGGTGGAGGAGGATTACTAGTATCCATTTCACAAAAGTTTCGAAGCTGAATTAGATCATTTGGGCTCTTCATTTCCTCAACATCACTAGAAAATTTCGATAAAGAACTTTCAGGACTACCAGAATCATTTGTAAAAAATTCAGATTCACTATCTAATCCAGTATTAGAATTATATGTTATGAGCCATTTACTGTGACCGATCATTCTTTTATTTCATGACAAAATTTAGAAGAAATAGTATTTGCAAAGTTTAATACACTGAACATGGGCAAATAAATTCGTTGAATTTCTCCACATAATGCAAAGTGGTAAAACCTGTCCTTGAACTGGTTTTACAATCCCATCTCCCCTGGACAAGTAATGACATCTTTTAGAAACAGTGCAAAGTAAAAAATGTGAAAAAGCCATGAAATCAGTGGCATAGTGTAGGAAAATACACTGCCTGAGTGGTGTACGGACAAATAAAAAAAGTACCTTTTCGCAGCACCCAAACGGTTTTCGGGAAAAACAGTTAAGTGGTTAGCTACTTAAAGTATCAGATTTCTATTTAAACTTTGCATGACAACTTAACTCATTTAGTGACAGCAAAACCTACAGATAGAGACTATAACTTTCCAAAAGTTTCATTTTCAGTAATTTAAAAATTATCGATACAATTTATAATGCTTTCAGAAATTATGTTAACTTGGCTACATGTGTCAATTATAGCAGGAAAGTTATTATTCTCTATCTGAAGACTGAATTTGAAATTATCATTTATTAGAAGTTTGATTTTATGACTGTATCATTTTGTAGAAGTTTGATTTTATGACTGTGGTGGTTGATGATATTTTAAAGTAGGATACTGTGAATTTGGATACGTATTTTGATAAGATAGGAGTTGATAATGATTTTAAAGCAGGATACTGTGAATTTGGGTATATTAACCCTTTCTGGCACACTACCTTTTAAATTTGGAATTTCGATCAAAAAAAGAAATAGTCTAATCAGGCCTAGAGGAGTATATAGGTAAAATTTTGTGAAGATGGCACTTGGAGCTTATAAATAGAGCTTCGAAAAGAGTGCTGAAACGAGCATTGCTGGGAAGTTCTTAAAAGGGTAAGAGATTTTGCCTACGATTAAAAAACACCAGACTCTGAATACGGTAGCAGATTTAGCATTATCCATGGTGTGCCATGGGGAGGCCTGTTACTCTACACCCCCCTCCTAGAAAAGCTTTTGGTTATATGATGATTGCATGCATATGAATGGAAAAAAAGTAACTTGGGTATGTGCTATTTACATTATTTGCATTTCATATTTACACTTTCGTCTATTTTTTCATGGTGGTACTTTTCAAATAAAGTGACACTACCTTTGAAGTAGCACAACGTAATATTGCATGCTTTGCATATGTATTGGGATCTGTATCAGATTCACCATCTGGAAGAAATTCGTGTAGCACTGTCAGTGATTCAGAAATGGTCAGCGCTCTCCAATCCATTTGGAAAATAATTAAAAATTCGAAAAAAATAAACTAATATTATACCTACAATCAGAAACTATAAAATAAATAAACGTCTACAACTCAAAACTATTAAACATAGTGCTAACAAAACTTCTCTGAGCAAAAGTGAAAGAGGAAAAAACCAAACATCTAACTGATAAAATTACCCCTGACCTTTAGAAAATCACCCCAAGAATTCCTTAGTTGATAATCAAACCTCCCCTCCTTCCCCCCAGAAAAGGAAGAAAGAGAAATAGGAAATGAAACGCAGATCTGGACCCACCTTTCAATTGTCAATGAACTGACTGGAGAGTTGCAGGGAAACAAAAATACAGTTTTTGGTTTAGTCCTAATCTCGCAATCAGCACACCTGATGTTTGCTGTTCGATTTTAGGCAAGATTTCAAGGTAAAAATTTAAGACTAATATAGAATAAGAACATTAGCATACAGCCAAGAAAATAACGTAGAAATTTCTTTTCAAACAATTCTTTTTATATCCTAAAAAAATATGGAAGATTTCTTTGAAAAATGAGGTCTTTAAAAACTAAACATGGCTAAAATATATGGACTGGTTTGTGTTGTGCTGCCATGTAGTATAAATAAAGAAGGTTCAGCATAATCTATTAATACTTTTTCATTCAATTTTTCTGTGCGTACAGAAAGAAATTTTTAGGTGTGCCACAAAGGGTTAATTATGTTAGTCAAAATTGTATTATTGACATTTGTCTTCATTTGCTACTGCTTTTAACTCTTTCCTTTAAAAGGTTTCTCTGTTGCTGTTCCTTTTTCTCTTTGAAGGGGAGAATGAGTAAATTAAAGAATATTTAAAAGATAAACTGCAATTCAAATTTGCAGAGTAACTTTCAATTCTCTATTATAAAAATAGTAATCTCTCTTTTCACTGTATCATTTCAAGACTAATACATGTCATATGACTCTTATGTAATTCTGGTGATGTGAACTTACACAGCCAATAATAATTTTTCAGCAGTATTAATTGTTCAATCAAAATGCCCTGAAAGCCAAAACTAACTAACGTACTCTAAATTAGATTTCGTTCTGAACATGATACACTTGTTCGCTACTCTTCGGCCTAGCTGGTGTCCTGTCTGCTGTTTCCTTCTTACTGCAAAGCTATCAAAAACTTAAACCTCTTGAAATAGGCACAGATTATGTGCACACTATTTTGTGGATGCAACATACTTATGGGAAATAAAATGAAGTTTTAATCTGCCTTGGCTGCCAGTTTTCTGTTCATTGTGGATTAGCATTTTCAGCATTCTACAAGATCAAAATTCTTCATCTTCAGTAGGAATTCGTTGTGCTGTCTACATTCTACTCCTACATTTGCTACCTCTTATTCATTGCATATATACCTGGTGATTAAGAATTCATCATCAATATTTGGTGAGCAAGTAGGGAATAGGAAAAGAAGTAGATTTCACATAGGAATGCATGGCACATATGCCATATAGTAGAGCAAAGCGTTTACCGGATTTATGTCCTGTCGATTTCTTTGTATGGGGTGCTATGAAAAGCATGGTGTACAAGACCCCTGTTGATAGTGCTACGGACATGTAAGGACATGTAAGCAATGTTACATGTAAGATAATAAATGTTTTTTCCCTTACCCACTTCCTTCTTATGTGTTCTTTCCATCATTGAACTGGAATATATATATATATATATGTGTGTGTGTGTAATAATAAAATTCCATTAATCAAGAATACACTTAGAATTCTAACTGGTATGTTCTTTTCATTTTTAATGGCGACGTTCTCTCATTTGAAAGTACGTGGAATTAAATCCACAGCCCCATAGTCAAGTTGTTTTTCCCGCCTTTTCTACACATACAGTTATATAATGTTCTGGAAGTATTTAAAGCGAACTGGATTGGCTGACGAAGCTGACGTCATTTTTTGGAAGCTCCGCCTTTCCAGAGGCTATAAAAGGATTCGCAAAAGGAATATCGGGAGCTTTTTCTTAAATGTCACGATGCAGTAAACTTCATACAAAAAGTTATTAGTAATTCTTTTTATTTACTCCGGATATCTGATATTTGTAACTGATATTTCTCCTGAATAATAATAAATGGATCCTGTTTTTTAAAACTATCGTCTGATTACTTAAGCTACGACTAAAGCTGATGCATCACATATATATATAATTTTGATGAGTAAGTATTGTGCACTGCCTTTTCTGTGCCACACGCAGAATAGATAAGTCCAAGTGTATCATGTCAGATTTTCAGCAAGATTCATATTTGTAAAGTTCGTTTCTAGGCTATCAAATATTGTTTTGATTTATTTGAGAAATTTTGATGGGGTGAACTTTATTTAAATATTATACAAAATTGTTTTTTATCTTTTCTATAAATGATTTGCAGGTCAAATGCAGCTTTAAAAGTGCTAATCCAAAAAATTGTCATTTTATTTTTTTTATAATATATTCATTTTTTTACAGGAGACTGGATGTGTCCTTGGCATTTTTGCAGTAGCTGCCCTATGGAAGCTTATCTTTTTTGTTCAAATTGTCCAGTTTCATATTGTCGAAAACATTTACCATCAGGCCTAATGATACAGCGCAAATCATTTAGATGTGATAATTGTAAGAGACCTCATGAGGCCTGTCCTTCAACAGAACCTTCAGAAAGTCAGAATTCATTGGCTGCATTAGTGAGCCAGAGCTCATCAGCTCCATCTTTGAATCAGTATCCAGGTAATGTAGACCAAGTGTCAGCTTGGATTTTATGATAATTTGCTAGAAGAAACATCATTATTGTGAAATCTCTTACAGGTGCATTTAAAAGCGTAAGTCAGTATACGTCAGTTAAATATCTTATTACTTATGTTTAATCAAATTTTCTATACAAACATGCATTGGAAATGGTGTGTGGCTTAGCTCTCACTTTCTTGAGAAGACATAATTTTGTACTGAGAATCTTTGACAATTATAAAGCTGCCTTTTATCGAGGGGCAAAGAGTATTGTAATGAAAATATATATGAAAAGGAATAAGATGAACTACAGTCATATGGTGAAAAATTCTTGAACTGCACTAACTTCACAAAATTGATGTAAGTGCAATTGTCATTTTATCTTATCTACATTATTTTTCCTTATTACCACTCTGTTTTGCACAGTTTTTAGAATTTAGAACATTTTCATGATTTGTTTAAAGTGTTTTATGGGTATGGATGAGAATTGAAAGGAATCGTCTGCAAAGCCTGACTTTAGAGAAAGATTTAAAATAAATAAATAAATAAATATCTGTACGTCCTAACATCATAATTTTTGGAACTTTTTTAGAATTATTACTAAAGCTATCATGTATGCTAAAATTAGCATTTAGTAGTCTTTTTCATTTTTTGTACTTGAACATATTTTTTTTTTAAAAAAAGTCTTTTTGAGAAATAATTTTTAGGAGCACTATTCAAATTATTCTGAATTTTAATTGATAAAATACATTAATATATTTTAAATTAATAAAAATACGAGGCTGTTTACTAGAAGTAACAAGATATTTCATGTGAACTGAAAGACAGACACTTAGTGAGCTCAGTCTCTGACAAAATGTCCGTATGAGAATCATAAGAAATATTTCTCTTGAACTCTTTAGAAAATTAATCATCACTCTCATTCTTATCACTAATTGGCTCATTAACTGTACAAGTATATAATTCATGTGATAGAGATCGCTTGCTAGGCATAATAATCGAAGTCAAATTAATCTTCACTTTCATTCGTGTCACTGATTAGCTCATTTACCATTTAAGTGTATACTTCATCTGATAAATATCAACTTGCTCAGTATAATAATCTGAAGGGAAGGCTTTCCAAAATAAATTGGAAGTACGTGAAATATAACCAAAGCAAAGCGTAATAGAGCCCTACATAGAAACCCTAAAAAGACCATACATAGTAGCAAAAAAGGATCAGAAACATTACCTCGTGGCTAGTTAAAGGGAAGATTTCTGCCTCTTTATATTAACCCACAATTTTGTGATCTTTGAAATGTTCCAGGACACTGGCACAAAAGTGTGAGGGCCAATGGTGAACAAGAGCAGGCTCTGTTACGCTAGCACAACCAGACGGTAAGTGAGTGCATTTCTTACAGGCATGTATGCATGACAGTTGGTGAGAAAGTGTTATATTGGTTAGTTTTTGTATCTTCAAAACTTTCAAAGCACAAGCTTGAAAAATATCTAGTGGTAAAGATGTAACAGTAGTTGGCTGTTCATTCAAAATTTAATTCCTGTGTTTTATGTTACGCTTCAATACATTTTTCACAAAAATCAATATTGTGATTTACTTGGCATGCAATGATGGTGATGCTGTGCCTCTTTTGGGTTTACCCCCAAACAGGGCTTCAAAACGCTGTGGTGTATTCTTTTGAGGTATTTTGTATTTTTTGCCGATTGAATAAAGGGCAATCCAACTGCAAATTTATTTCTATTTTCATGGTTCCTCCATGCAGTTGTTGTTTCTTTATGTTTTAATTGGCCGTCTGAACTGAGCCTTGTGTTTGACTGTGGCAGGGCTTTCTGCGAACTATCTTGAAATCTTTCCGCAGCACAAGAGGTGTCTCAATTACTGAATTTTCTTTATCTGGATGCAGTATAACTGGGGCATCAAATATTGAAAACATATGAAGAGGGTGATATGTTACTCCCTCAGCTGTCTTAATTTTTAAAGGTAGTAACTGGACAAGCTTCATGAAATGGTTATGATATGCCATTACAAACTTTGCTATCCCTGTGTAGTAGAAAGTCTAGTAGATTGCCTTGACGCATTGATTTTAATGTTGAACTGACTATTGGTTTTATAATAATACCTCTCTTAGATGCACTGTGTTTCATTTGACAATATTTGCATAAGCACTAAGCATTGCTGCTTCATATGTAATATTTAACTTGCAAATGTTTAATCATACATGTTCTTCCTCCATTAGCTATTCTGATATCTTGCAACTTCTATACAAAATATTTCATAATTTGTAACATAATATTGTACATTCATTTTTTCTGGTTCTAATTTCACAAATAACATTTCATCCTTAATATTTAAAATATCAAAACATTTTATTCATCTGGAATCCTTCACTTGTTTTATTAGAAGTCTTTCCAGAATGTATTTTAAAGTGCTTCTCTTGTCAAAAAATAAAAATAATCAGGTTTTTATTTAGTTACAATGGATGCATACAATATTTCAAAGAAAGATCAGGAAAAATCACACTGCTGTAGCCATTCTAAACATTGTATGTTCCAGCAAACTTTGTGTAAGACTGCCAAATGATAAAGTTGTTGAGAGTGTGCCAACTAGATGCTACTTGAGTTTAATCATGTTAAAACAAAGATTTGGGCACTTTTATAGCTTTTCCCTTGGCTTGTCATTTTGATCCTCCACCAGAATTCATTGAAGACTACTGACATTCTCTTATTTCAGTGGTTTAGGGCAGTATTTACACACCATGAAACTGAACTAGTGTTTTCCAGTTACATTACACATCTAACCTAATTTCCAGAGACAGTCCTACTGTGGACCACATATATCTGCATTGGTTGAGAAGTATATGGTCCTGTATGGAATGAGTAGGTGGTCTTAAATTTTGATACTGGTAATGTTCTTAAAACAAAAGGAGCAGATTTGAGGGAACTGCAGATCTACTATAGGAAGATGTGCTCAAAATTATTTGAGAACAAGTCGTGTTATGATGATTGTGCATCTCAACCCCTTTAAAAAAAAAAAAAAAAGACCCACTTTACTGCTATAAGACAACGACAGGTATGTATGATTTTCCTGTACAGCTTTGGTAAGACTTTTCAAATGCATACTGTACTTCAAGGACGGGTCTTTAGCTTGCTGTTGTATTGTTCATATTTGGAGATTAACCTGCAGCTAGTACTGCAAAATATGCTGAGATACTTTGTATAACTCTTCATATTGTTTTTTGGACAAGGTTCAGGTGCATGTAGCACATCCTGTGGCTCATGCTTTGTCCCTTGGATTATTAAATTAAGGAACAACGCAATCATCAACATTAACTGAAATAGATAATTAGATAATTTTAGCTTATACCGTCCGTTATACATAAAATGCGCACGCGGAAATGTATTCTGCGCTTGTGCACACGCATATGCGCAGTCGTCGTAAAGGTCTTACACTCACGCGTAACCGCCTATGCGTATGTGTCAACGCGGCGCATGCGCAGAAAGTTTTTAGCTTTGAGGTCCAGATTATAGATCGTTTTGGATTATGGGTGTCCGAATTAACGACTTTTGACTGTAGACGTTTTACTGAAATATCTTGTTTTAGTTGTACTCACAAGTAAATAATTGACACTGTTAGAATTCCAGTTTTCATATTTATACAGCTATATATATATATATACACTGTATCATTTGCTTTAATGTCATTTTGGGCCTTTAAGAGCAATCTGTTATGATCTGATGTATTTTTGGAGGCATGGGAACAATTGCTTTATTCTCATATAAATGAATGTACTTTTTCATTTGATTCAGTTGGGCTTATGACAGTTTTTCTGTTTTGCTCTACTTTCATATAATGTAAGCACCTGTATTTCAGTTTCTAATTTTTTTTTTTTTTTTTTTTTTTTTGTAGAGTACTTTTATTCCTCTTTTCAGGTGAAGAACTAGCATTTAATTCAGAATGTGATAGATGTTGCCAACAGAAATCCTTTTGTGGCTATGCAAATTGCAGTGGTATTGGGAGAAATTTGTCTTCGGTAAGTTTTATACTATATATTATTTTAAGAGACTGCTTATGCTGGTATCTAATGATAATTTTTGATTTGATGACTTTCAGAATGCAAGAAACTTATCATCAAACCAGGACAGTCACAGTCTAAGCTGGACCTTTATTAAGATTACATATGTTGTCACACTTGTTCTATTTTAAATAAATTTCACTGTAATATTGTTAAAAGCAAATCTACAAAATCTTCACAGCCAGTTTTAAAACAAATGTAGCTTTAAATGTTTACCACAAAATAAATTCAGGTATACATTATATTTCTATAAATCCTATATGTTTACATAAGGGCTGGTTCTAGATAGGTGAATTAATCCCAGAAAATACAATATATATATAAAATACCAGATTAATGTACAGGAATTTCTGCATTATATGTATTTTCAAGTACCATTAATACATTTCTAGGAAAGGAACAATTTTCTGCATTCTTCTGGCTGAATAAACCTAAACTGGGCGTTATTAACCCTGAAATTTTGAATGTCATTTGCAGTTAATATTAGGGTACATTAGTGTTATGTGTAATATTTAGATTTATTTTATGTACATAGCTTTAAAGAGCATATCTGTTATTTGACTGATAAAGCTAATACACTTTATATAGAAGTCAAATTGTAAAGTCTTTCCCTTTGATATTCATGTTGTGCAGCAAAATTGGGGCATATTTTTGTAGTTTTGGGGAAAATTATTTAATGCTTTCGTTAATAATTTGAAGTATGGATTTATATCAGGTATTCAGTTGAAGCTGTATAAACAGGAGCACCATAAAGGGCGAAATAACCAATTTTGTAGCCATGGGGAAATAACTTTGGTTTAATTTTGAATTATAAAGGCAGAGCTCAATTTTATTGAAATGTACTACTTCATTCAGTGAATAAGTGACAAAATGACAATCTCGAATGTTTTATGATCTTTGGAATTCGGTGGAAAATCATTACTTGAGACATCCTTGCTAATTAGTTGTAAACAATTTTGAGAAATTGTATCTCCGGATTTAGATTTCAAATCCAGAATAAATAAACTGAGAAGTGAGAGTGCTGAAAATAACTAAAATTTTTAGTAATTTACATATTACAATTCCGTTGCTGATAGGTAATTAGGTATTGTATTTTCATTGTCGCTCATATGGATGAAAAAAATTGCTAATGCGAAGTTTAAATTTAACAAATTAGACTTTTAATGATAATTAAAAATTTATTTTCATAATGTGTTCATGTATATCATGTCACTGATATGATATAATTCTTATATTATGTCCGTATCAAATTTCATTAAAATATGTACGTTGGTTCTGAAGATAATTGACCAAATGTGAAAATACTCTTAATTCTGAATACCACCAGTGTATTAGCTAATAGACCTTCCCCAGTTATGTATTGATTGTGAGTTTTATTTTAATTTCTAATGGTGCTGTCATCTTAGCCATAGACTAATGTTTTCCATGTTGTATGTGTTCCCATGGCTGTATAATGTGGATTTCTTCTCCACCATCAGTATCAGAATGCATTTCTTCTTTGACATCAGTGAATTGTTCCATATCTTAACTAGCAAAAAATCCTAACAATTTCCTTAAAAGTATGAATGAATCTATTTTTCCATTTAAGAGACCGATTTAACTGCTGGCTATGTTTGCTTTTGTAACGTGTAATGAGAAGTAATTCTCATTGCATAATAGAGGTGAATTTATGAAAACGGCAGATATATTTTGTGCTAAAATTTTGTACTAATTTCTATTTGAAATCCACTTGGAGGGCATAGGAAAAAATATTACACTAGTACACATGATTGTCTTATAGTGAAGAAATCGATTAGTGTTTTCATATACTTAATGAGCAGACCTGTCTTACAAGGGAATGCTAGTATTTCGCTTGGAAAAGTTGCAGCGAGCGAGTGTTTTGAGAACTGTTGATGTCGATTGATATGTGAAAGTGACTCAGGCTTCTGCATATGTTTTAGGAAACTGTAGTTTTAATGGTTAAAATTACTCTGCTCATAAACAAATATACAAGAATATAAACAGGTAAGGTGAGTACATGGCCTTCCCCATGGTATCGGACTGTATATTTTCCTACGAACTTCTATTGCTGTTGTTGCCTTTTCCTCTGGATTCTGACGCTGCCAGCCAAGCTCCAAAAGATGGTTGACTCTAAGGAAGTCAGTCATACTCCAGATATATCCAAACAGACCGAAATATGTTTAGCAAAAGTGATGTTCTCAGCACTTGGTGCATGTGGGAAAGATTTCATGCTGTCTTTGAAAGAGAGGCACTTAATGTGACCGCTGGCAACATGCGAGTGCTCTATCTGGGAGCTCCTGTCACACCCAAAGCTTAGAGTCCAGCAATGCCTGTTAGTGAAGAAACAGTGTTGAGTGGGGGGACAAGCATTTCCAGCATGATTTGTAATTTTTTCAGAGTAGAGTTCTAGAGAAGGGAGCTCAAATACCACAGCCCTCCATTTCTGATTTGTTCACCATTTTGTTGCCATAAAGATTCACATGATAATGATCCACTGTAAATGGATATTGTGGTGCTCTGAAATTAGGTGTAGTTTTTGTAGGGCAGAGGTGCTGATTTTGTCAGAATCCGGTCGAAAGGCAACAACATTAACAGAAGTTCATAGGAAAATATACAATCCAATACCATGGGGAAGGCAATGTACTCATCTTACCTGTTTATATTCTTGTATATTTGTTTATGAGCAGAGTAATTTTAACCATTAGAACTTTGGTTTCTTAAAACATATGCAGAAGCCTGAAATATATAACTGTAGCTCACTACAAAATCTTCATAAAAGGAGTCCTTTTATGAAGATATTGTAGTGAGCTACAGCTATCATATAAAATCCACTCATCACCAAAATTCTCTTCTTTTTAGTATAGGCTTGAGCCCCAAATTGATAGCTATCATGTCATTCGTAAAGACAGAACAGTCATTTGGATTGTGATGACAGTAATTTTTTTCCTCAGAGGTATCAATATAAATGTCATTACTTGCATGATTAACAATTTTGCTGCCATCTCTGAAGATCTTTATTGCATTTTGGGGAATGGTGCTTGTGACTTGTAAATCCAATTGTCTTAGGTATTTACTGAGAAAATACAGGAAAGTGAAACAGTGAAAGTGAACCCTGAAAAGTCCAACAACTTTGTAGTGATTCAAGCAATGTTGTAGTGAGTGAGGCTCAACATTGCAAGAAAGTATCTCTGAGACTCAACTAGGCCAAAAGGGCTGTTTTTTTTAAAAATCTTTGTTGGTTTTTCTACTTATTTAGGTACATTGAAGTTTTCTTGTATTGGCCATAACTAGAGAAATTGTTAAAGTATTTAACAAGGCCAGCTAGTCTTTTAGGGTGGAGAGGTTACAAATTGGCCTTAAAAAGGAACATTTCTGTAGTGCAACTGTGCCTCTGTAATAATACGAGCTATACTTAACTGAACTTTTTCTAATTTCTGCGGATTGGAATCAGAGGCACAACAATAAATTGGAAATCCAAACTCAAATAAGGGTTGAATGAGTATCAAATAACTAGTTCGGAGGGTAGTCACATCAGTTTAGCACTCCCTACCCACAATGTATTTAAGAATGTTACTTGTTTTTTACTGTCTTGCACTGTATGTTCAATATGTTTCTGACATGTGAATTTAGTGTCAAAAATAAATACCAGATATTTAGGATGCTTCTGGTAGATATGTTCCTGACTATTCAGCTGGTATTTGTATATGTGCTTATTTGTAGTAAAAAAGTAACAATGGATTTGGCTGGGTTAAAACATACGTTCATCTCTGCAGCAAAGTTGGACAAAGGTGCTAGAAAATTATTGAGTTTCATTTCTATTTTAGTTATATTAGTATCTGAACTTCAGACAACAGTATCATCTGCAAATATTCCAATTTTTATACCCCAAGTAGGCACTTTCTTCATTCCAGCTATATATATGGTGAAATGGATGGGGCTGATAACGGATCTCTGAGGGTCACCTTGGTTAAGTTCATCAGAGCTTGAGATAGTTTTATTAACTTTAACGTCTTTGCTGCAAAAGTTTGCTATCCATGATAAAGTATTTCCTCGAATGTTAGAAGTGTCATGTACTTTTAAAATCAGTTTGTGCTTCCATGCTCAATCAAAGGCTTTCCTGAGGACCTGTGGAGCACTGCGATATGAAGGGTAGGTTCGAAATTCTTTAGCATCTCTTGCACTTTGACAGAAATACAGAACTTGATCTGTAGTCCTTTGGCCTCCTCTAAACCCAGACTATACAAGGTTTTAATTTTTTACAATCTAGGTAGTATTGGTTTTTACAATCTAGGTAGTATTGGATCCTTATTAAAATCATTTTTTCCATTATTTTGCATACAAGTCAGATCTTCTATGTGAAACATCTGCATGGTTTTTTTTGGGGGGGATAGAGTATGGGTAATTGCTATGTAATTACTACTGACTTCTTCACATAAGAAAAATTTTGATCGAAAATTATGGTTTCATGTGAATTTTAGGGTTGACTTAGAGACTTCTGAAGGCTTTTTAGCTGCATGGAAAATATTTAAAAGTGCGTATATTGTCTTATTCTTAGAAACTTTGTTTAACCCATTCGCTGCTTGTTTTTCAAGATACTGATGTTCAAATGTGTGTGTCTGATTCAAGTTTATAAATTTAATTGAAATTAAAAAATTATATACATTGCTACAATCTATTAATTACCATGTAGAACTCTAAAACAATAAATGTGATAAGATGTTAGAATGACTTATGTTTTATGTGTTTGTAAATTTATAATTCATTTTCAGATCTTCAAAATTTCAAAATCATTAGAAAATAAAGAGCATGTGATGAATAAAGCCCCTATTAGAAGGAAGTCAAAACGAAAGACTGAAACGGACGATGGGGAAGATAATCATTGTTTCATTTGTAAAAATCCCGGATCTCTTCTTTTATGCGATAAAAAAGGATGTATCAGAGCTTACCACATTCGCTGTATTGGTATGGAGACCATACCAGAAGGTGAATAAGAGTTTTGAAAATTCATTGTGTAATTTATTAATAGTGTCTTTCCTTTTTCCTGCCCTTAGTCCAGCAGCTGACACAATTTGTATGCTTCATTTAGCAGAAAGGTTTTTGGTTGTTTGTGGAAACAACATGCATGCAGTAATCATAAAACAGTATCATTTTCATTGATAATGGGCCTCATTGTTTGGTGTAACTATAGGACCAATGTTAACCCTCTGACTGCTCAATTTGTGGACTGAAATCGCTTCAAAAATTGTGTTTATTTATTTATTTATTTATTTTTAATCTTTTAAATCTGTGTATATTAGAGAATTGAAAAATGCATTTTTGCTTTCTAGAAAATACACTGGTGTGCAAAATTAAGGACGAGATGGTTTTTTCAATATAACATTGTGCAAAAGCTTTCCAAATCAACACAATAATACCACAAGACGTAAGAACATGGGTAATGTAAGCAAAACCGTCCCAAAAAAGGAAATCAAAAGAATAAAATGGAACTTTATTGAAAAAGTTGCATGGAGCGCAATGTGACTGAAGGCCGAAACATCCATGTGACAGGTGTCCAGTAAGAAACATTAAGAATTTATTACGGAATATGATCTCCCCTGACTGCTGGGCAGGTTTAGCATCATTTGTTCATGCTGAGTATGAGGTTGTCAATGAGTTGTTGTGGCACTGTTGCCTATTCCACTCGTAGCACCAATCGCAAATCCGGAATCGTTACTGGTGATAAGTTACGTTCTGCCACGTGTCTCCATATAAAGCCCTATACATGCTGGATGGGCTTTAGGTCTGGAGACCTTGCTGACCTTCTTAGAAGATGTGAAGGTCGGTACGGCTAGCAAGCATTATGCCTCCCCAAACGAGAAATCCACGACCTCCGAACCAGTCCCTATTTGATGATGTTAGAGGGGTTATTGCGAGATTCCCTGCTCTCTCCAGATGTGTGTGCATCTAGAATCGCTACTCAGACTAAATCTGCTCACATCTGCTAAGAGTACTCGATCCCACTGATTATCTGTCCAATTATGGTGTTACCTGCACCACAGAAAATGCCTATTCCGATATAGGCATTAATGGCATACGCCATACAGGTCGTCATGCAAACAGACAACCATTGTGCAGGTTCCTGGCCATGGTAAAACACGATATCGGTTGTTCAATCGCCTGTTCCATGTGTCTTGAAATTTCTCCCTCCGACTGCCACCTGTTCCTCTTTGCCTGTAGGGAAATAAACCAGTCATGTGCTGCCGTGGTTGCTCGTGAGCAACCACTGCTGATCTGTCGGATAGCTGTTCCAGTAGTCTGAAATGCTCTCCAAAGTCGTGAAAGATTGCTGTGTGCAATCCCGAACTTCTTAGCCACACTTGTTACCTTTCGACATGCATCAGTCTTTCCAATAATTCGACCTCGGGTAAAATCATCCAGATGTCATCTAACAGATTGATTGTTCAACATTTCACACTGAGGCATCAACTCGACATCGTTTAAACTGATATACGCCATGCAATAGCTTTCCAGAAATGCTGGGCTCACACCTCCAGCAATCTTTATATTCCTCCGACACTCCCCCATTATGTCTAGCTGCAAAAATGCGCATATGCTACCGTACCTGACCCTAGTTAATCTCCTGATTCATCTTTCAGTCTGAGTTTCCTCTTCGTTTCGCTGATAAGCTAATTTTTTAATTTCGTCCTTAATTTTTGCACACCAGTGTATTTTTTTATATAAAGCACTGAGGGAAAAATACCTTAGAAATGCAGTTAAGTATGATAGAGTTCAAAACAGGGTTCAAGGCATAGTCCAACTTCACAGTCTTTGCACCAGATTCAATAAATCTAATTAATAATCAATCTAATTATTAATCTAATCAATGACTAATTAATAATTCAACAATTTAATTAAATATTGAAGATAATCGCTGAATGTTTTCTAGCAGCCATTTCTGTAAGAAAAAAGCGGCAAAAAGTGGAATTTGGACGGTAATACCACGTGCCTTCAAACGCCACAATTTAGTGCACAACTGACAATATCTGTTGGCCAAAATGTTAACTAAACTTCTGATACTGTATATAATTTATTTCAGTGGTTAAATGGGGAAAAAACTGGATGCGCTCCTCAATAAAGGAAGAAAAATGCATGCCCGCGGAAATCGCAGGATGGGCAGATTTTGCTAAATTTGAGTTGCCCGTGGAAATCGCATGATGAGCTGCCAGATGGTTAAGATGCTGTGTGACACAGCTAAAGATTATGGCAAAGACAGGAATAATTTAAATTTGTTTTCCTTGTTCATTATTACTACTATAGCCACATAAGAATCCATAAATACTTTACAGCTATTTTTGCAGCTAATTTGAGATAAGTTTTGTTGTTAAAATTTGAGTTTATAAAAATTAGTCATCATAAGATAATTAAAAATGAGATGAAATAACTTTCTGGACTTCTTCCATTAATATTTTGGTATAAATTTATAAAATATAATTGAATGCTCGCATAGTATCTTTGGATACCAGTTGACTTCAGAACCTTTTTGGTGGAAATCCCAGCATTTATATCATCCTTATAATCAGTTTTGTTGAAGTGATTGCTGCTTATCTTAACATTCTTTCTGTTGAACATATTTTTTGTTGGCTATCTGGGCAGCTATCTTCTTAACGAATCCCTCTGATTTGAATCAGATCAAATGCATAAGTTCATTTGCAGTTTCTGACACAAAATTAGTACTCTTCAGCATATTGTAATGCCCCAAGGCAGCACAACTAAGTAGGTGTTGAGCAGTAACTTCATGGCTTTTACATTTGGCATAAATTGGAAATGTTTTAGTAACACTTGAATATATGAGTGTCCTTTAATATCCTGAAGTCAACCAGGCCAGAGGCGTTGGTCCTTCCTGTCACCTTTGAAACCAATAATAGTACCAGGACTTGCATTATGATACCATATGTTGATAGCTGTCTAATTGTTAGTTAAAGCCCTTCTCAAGCATAGTTCAAGATAGGTCAAAGGTTTAGCGTAAACATTAAACACGTATCATTACCTAGATAATCAGAGATATATTAGAGACCTGAGAGGAATTAAATTTATTGAAAAAAAATCAAGACCTTGACCCATTCTTCTGTCCTCCATCTACAATGGAAACCACATCATGCAAATCTAAAATATAATAATATAACTGATACACTAACAAAGGAGGGTACTTCCATGACTGATTAGCCCAAAGGAGCATTTAGCTCAGGGAGGCTATTCGTCTCGAAATGGTATTTTGTGTCAGTTTGCTATGCATTCTGTATCACTTTTTTAATTGTTGCCAATAAATATTATTGCTGTGTATTATGTTTAAAGAAATTAAATAATTAAGAATCTACATGAATGCATGTTTTTCACACTGTGAAAAAATGACACCTAGACATCAAATTTTGAGTAATGTAATTGTCCACCCAAACATGTACACCTCGAAGCCTAAATTTTAAATTTCGAATTAGTTTTATTAACCGTCAGAGTCGATGATTTCAAAGCAAGCAAAGGCAACACTAAACACACACAAAAAAAGAGGGGTATCTCTCCAGCATGGTGAGACTCTCTCTTGGAAATTCTAAAGATTTGCTGTTTTTAAATATTTTGTAATATTGCCATTGAATTGAACTTTATGTGGCTTAAATGCAAAGAACATGATATTTAATAAATAAAGGTAACACAAAAGACTAAAAAACGCCCCTTTGGTGTAATATATAAGCTGGATGGTTTCAGATGTTTTTAAATTTCATTTTATTTATTTTGAGAATTTATGATGGGATGAACTTTCTTTAAATTATTATGCAAAATTTTTATTTATATTTTCTATAAATGAGTTGCAAATCAAAAGCAGGTTTAAAAGTGCTAGTCTGAAATACTGTTATTTTATTGTTTTAATAAAGTATTCATTTTTTTTATAGGAGATTGGATGTGTCCTTTGCATATTTGCAGTATTTGCTGTTCGGTAGCATACTACTTTTGTTCAAATTGTCCAGTTTCGTATTGTCAAAAACATTTACCATCAGGCCTGAAGATATGGGGCAAAAAATTTAGATGTGATAATTGTCAGAGACCTCATGAGCCCTGTTCTTCAACAGAACCTTCAGAAAATCCGAATTCATGGGTTGCATTAGTGAGCCACAGCTCATCAGCTCCATCTCTAAATCAGTATCCAGGTAATGTAGACCAAATGTCACCTCACATTTTATGATAATTTACTAGAAGAAATAACATTAATGTAAAATGTCTTAAGAGGTGCATTTAAAAGGACATTTATTACTTATGTTTAATCAGATTTTCTGTGCAAGGACATTTATTACTTATGTTTAATCAGATTTTCTGTGCAAGGACATTTATTACTTATGTTTAATCAGATTTTCTGTGCAAGCATGCAGTGTGGCATAGATGTCTCATTTTCCTTTGAAACTGTGTTTGTGTGCTCTTGTATGCTAGATTATTAATGCATTTATGGTTAGAGATGTTTTATTTTTTCACATTATTTATGTAGTTACAAGTTTTTCTATAGTTTTCAAAAATGTAAACATATGTATAGTAAAAGTAATTTGACATGATCTGTAAGATCTAATATGGATATTTTAACTTCCTTGAAGAGACATTATTTTGAGCTGGAAAGCTTTCCGAATTATGAAGCTGCCCTATAGAGAGGGAAGGAGTTATCTAAGGGAAATATATATGAAAAGGAATAAAGTAAACCACAGGCATATGGTGAAAAATGCTTGAATTGTAAATTGCTTTTCCATCTAAACTTCTTTTATTTGTTTACGTTGTTATGTCTTAAAAACTTCCAAAATAATGTCTCGAAAATAACTCGCACTCTGCTAAAGATGTAAAAATTATTAATTGGTCATTTGAAATATATAACTCCTGTGTTTTATGTTGTGCCTCAATACATTTTTCACAATAATTTGAATCTTTTATTGTAAAGGTTGAAATGTGGATAACACTGCAGAAATATATTGCATATAAGTTTTAACATTTTTGTGTTCTTATAATGTTTTCATTTGTGTAACTTTGCTTCGGTCTATATATACTTCTCTCTATATATATACAATATGTAACTTTGCTTCTCTATAAATATAATGTATTTTGTGTAAATAAATATCAAACGAAAATTTAAAAAATTAAATGTCAGTGTTCAAACTGAGACCCATTGTCGTGCTTTCTGATTGTTCAACATGCAAACAAATTTTGTTGAGTTTCTGGTTGGCATTTTGTGGAGATATTTTAATTTTTGAATTTTCAGTATCATGTAGTGCTTCTTAATAAGGCAGTTTTGTTTGCACAGAATTATTTGTTGCATATGCAGTAATTATAGTGCTTCTCAGTATCTCCGTGGCTCACTGGATTAAACGACAGTGGTGATGTAAGCCAGGTTTAAAGCCTGGCAAGTAGACTGGTTTCATTGACTCTTTTGTTGTTTTCCTTATTTGCCATGTAAATATGAGCGAGTTTTGCTTAGCTTTAGCTTATCTTAGCCAGTTTCGCTTAGCTTCCATTAGCTTAGCCAGTTTTCCATAGCAGTTATTCTTCACTTTGTGCAATCTCACTTTTATCAATGTTCACCTTTAAAAAAGATTAGGAACAAAGGTTATGTTTCAGCTTTCTTCTTTTATGAAATGATAGCCAAAATTTATGACTTATTACATAGGATGTTTAAAACAGTTTTTGTGGGATATTAAAATTACTTGTGATGAACTACACAATAGAAAAAGAAGTGCTGGATTTTCGGCAGCCTGACATACAGTCTTACTTCAAACATTTGGTAACCAAAAATAACTTGAAATTTTTTATTTCGACATTTTATCAGGCATGCTTTGGCATTATAAACAGAGTGTCTTATGGATAGAAATGAAAGGTACAGGTAGTAGCTAGGCCAGTGCTTCCGTAGAACCACAGGTGATTGAGGTATTTAGGCATCTGTTTGACGGTGTCAACATCAAGGACATTTATTTGTACTGTATCACCAGTCTGAGCTGGAGGATTTTCTTTTAAGGTTTGTAATTTTTTTTTTTTTTTTTTTTTTTTTTTGGCCTTTAGTAGAAGTTTGTTTAGTGGCGACTCATTTTATCGAAATAAACATGTATTATTCATTCAGGGTTGATATGAAGATGTGGTACGTTGCAACTCCTATTCAATATTTCCTATGGAATATGTTCTCTGGTATGATTACTGTTCAGATTTTTTCTTCAAAAGTTTTAGCAATTTCTTGGCTAGAATATTTGTGATATAGCCAGGCACAGATGTTGTGATTCTGTGCCCTTTTTCGGCTTAGCACCAAACATTGCTTTATAAGGCTGCAGTCTGTTTTTTGCACTATGTTGTGTACTTTGCAAAAAGGCAAAGGGCAAACTATCTGCCCTTTTTTTTTTTTTTTTTTTTTTTTTTTTTGTATTTTTATGGTTCATCCATGCAATTATTATTTTCTTTATGTTCTGATTGGTTATTTCAGCTGAGCCTTGTGTGTGACTATGACAAGGCTTTCTGTCAACTATTTCAACTTCTTTCCACATTGAACCAACAAGAAACCTCTATAGTGTGTTGTAGACAGTGCTGCCACCATATCAATAATTTCTTCCAAAACAGCTAGACAATTACATTTAAAAGTACAATGTGTTAGATCATTTTCAGTAACCCAAACTAAGGGGCAAATAATCTTCAACAAAATATGTTGCATACAGATGAAAATTGGACAAATTAAGTAACCAAATTACCTTGTTTGTTCTTGATAATAATTTGAATTATGTAATTTTAGGACTTAATGAATGCAAATTATTTAAGTTGAATATTGTACTAATTTTAAAATTAAACAGAGTTCTATTGTACTTAATGATGACTGGCATGTTGACAGCTGACCATATCTTTACACCTCCAACTGCAAGATGGTACAACAAATGTTTATCCATGTGTTAATAATGATGATAATGTAAGAAATTTTCCAACCTCTAAATCTCTGACTACAAATCCAAAGGAATCAGTTTCTCAGTCTAACATTTATGTGAAAAATGCTGTTTCTAATAATGTCGATAAAAAAAGAGTATAACTTAAAAAAATTGTTAATGATTATTCGTCTGTGTTTTCTAAAAATAAGTATGATGTAGGAAAAATTAATATTGAACCTCAACGAATTAATTTAGCTTCTGATTTGCCTGTATCATTAAGACCTTTTAGAACATCCCCTATGGAAGAAGAGGAAATTAAGACCCACATTGATCAATTATTACAAGCAGGTATAATTAAAGTTGTAGCCCATATTTGTCACTTGTGACTTTAGTACTTAAACGTGAGGAAGGTAAGAAAACTAGATTATGTATAGATTATCGAAAATTGAATTCCCTAGCTAAAACAGATGCAAATACCCTTCCTTGCATCAACACTTTGTTAGACAAATTAAGTAAAGCAAAAGTATTTTCTACAATTGATTTGAGATCTTTTTTCTAGCATATCCCTATTCACCCTGCAGATACTGAGAAATTAGCTTGTTTGCAAGAATTTTGGCTTATTCGAGTGGTTAAGACTCCATTTTGGTTTCAAAAATGCTCCTGCAATTTTAACAGAACAATAACACGAATATTAACAAAAAATAAAATCAATTTCGCTTGCAGTTACTTTGATGATATAATCATTTACTCTTCCTCTGAGAAGGAACATTTAGAACATTTAAAAATTTTATTTGAGGTGTTTAAAGAGGAGCATATTAAATTGAATCGAAACAAGTGTGTGTTCGCCAGAGATCAGATCACATTTCTTGGCTATGAAATAAAAAATGGTAGAATAATTCCCGATAACCATAATATAGAAGTTATTAAGAAACTTAAAAACCCCAGTAACACCAAAGAGTTACAAAGAGTTTTGGGAAGTGTGAATGTCTATCATAGATTCATTCCAAATTATGCAACTATTAGAGCTCCATTAAATAGACTGTTGAAAAATGATGTCAAGTGGGAATGGGATGACCAACGTCAAAAAGCTTGTGACGCATTGAAAAGAATACTGATTTCCAAACCTGTTTTACAATTGTATGATGCTAGTAGGCCATGTCATATTTTTGTTAACGCTTCTCAAACTGCTGTAGGAGTTGTTTTGAAACAACCAGAGGAAAATGATGTCCTTCACCCTGTATCATATCATTCCTGAACTTTAAGAAATTATGAGAAAAATTATACGATTACTGAGTTAGAATGTTTGGCCATAGTAGATGCCCTAGTTAAATTCTATTACTATCTTCATGGACAACAATTTGTTGCACATACTGACCATGTGGCCCTCGATTTGTCTCAAAAATGTTAAAAATTTAAAAGGTAGACTTTCCTTTGGTCACTCAAACTGAGTATGTTCAATTATGAAGTAAAATATCAAAAGGGCTCTACCAATATTGAAATTGACATGCTTTCTAGACATCCTGTTTCACAGTACCTCCAACATTGTGTACATTTACTTGATAGAAATGAAATGAATCCAACAACAAAAACTGATAATGTCTGCGGGAAAAAATTACCAAGAAATAAATGATATGATGATAATTAAGAAAAACAATTTTTATAAAATTGTAGTACCTAAATCTCTAAGATTAAAATTGTTGAGTAAAACCCATGAAAATTTTGGTCATCCGGGAGTTCAAATTATGCTTAACTTAATCACCTCTCAATATTATTGGCCTCATATTAGCAAAGATATTGGAAACATTATCATACTTGTCAACTTAATAAAAAGAAAGATGTACCCCCAACTGACAAACCTTTCGAATGTCTCTCTATTGACATTGTGGAAGGATTTAATTACTATAATTCTACAAAATATATTTACATATAATTATTGACCATGCAACAAGATATGTCTGGACTTTTCCCTCTAAACAGTGTAACTTCAGAAACCTATGCCAATTGTCTAAAACAAATATTTCAAATACAAGTCCCCGAAAAAAAATTCTGAGTGACAGGAATGCAGTCTTCACTTCCTCTAGATTAAAAAATTTCTTAAAAAGCATAATGTTAAACAACTTTTAACTTCATCTCATCATCCCCAGACAAATGGTAAAGTAGAAAGAGTAAATCAGTCAATAGTAAGTCAACTAAAATGTAAAGTAAATTCTTCTTCTATAAAAGTTCCATAGATTAAAATGCTAAAGCAAGTTGTTATCGAATATAACAACTCCCCTCATACGGTAACTAAGTTCACCCCAGCATACTTACTATTTAGTAACCTTTCTTTTGAATCTGCAATTGATCAAAACACATACCCTTCCTTAAATGAAGCAAGGGCTTTAGCAAGGAAAAGAACTATCGAATAGCACCGAAAGAATAAAACTAGATATGACACCAGATTTGTAGAATCTAAATTTCAACCTGGAGACAGTCTTTTACAAGGAATTTGAATACCCAAATACTAGAAAATGGTCACCTCACTCTATTCAGGCTCTTATCAAATTGTGAATAAATTATCTGAAGTTAAATATGAAATCGACAGGGAAAATTTTCACACGAAGAAGCCGAGATTGTACATGCATCAAAATTAAAGTTCTATTATCCACCAGAGAACTTTAAATTACATCATGAATAAATCAAAATTTATAAATCAATAAATTATCCATAACCCTTCTTTTAGTTTTTATCCTGTCGTTCCCCTTAATAGTTGATTTATCTCTCAGTGTCTGAAAAGTTTGTCTGCCCCTTTTTCTTTACTGGGCTCCTTCAAACTTGAGTTTCAGGTTCAATGCACTTTCCGTGTGGTAAACACTCAATTGAGGCTATACTACAAGTAGAGTACTATACCCTCAAATTTTCTTGAGCTCATGTTTTCATATGTTTGTGTTGTAAATTGTAGCAACAGTTAAAAAAGTTAAATTTCAGTTGTTGAAACTTCTGAGTTTCATTTTATGTTTCTGCAGCATCGTGTACAAAAAACTGGTATCGACGTTGTAAGTTAAATTTTGTTTTGTTATCATTAGATTATGTTTTGTTATCATAAGATAAAAAGCGAGTGACAAAATGTTTAAAAAATATAGCGAAATGTGTATTTTCAACAAGAGTATAAGAGCTCTAGTATCGTGACATAAAAACTCCAAATGTTTTCAGTGCCAATGTCAAGCAATATTTCTAGCGCTAATTAAATGATCCGGAGATCTCCAAAGAGCCAGTAAAAGACTGAAGATGAGCCTGAATGACAACTCTAATGATTGTACGAACTCGTACACAAACTGTGAATGGCATGCCCTAAGATATAAACTTACAAATTTTAGTTATATTACTATTTCCTATTGCCGCGTAGCTAACCAGCAATATGTTATTAGTGCTTTATATTTTTTCTGCACTTAGTTACTATATTATAATTTCATTAATCATTTATTATATTTTATATACTGTATTAATTATATTTTCAAATATTTTATGTCATATTTTATGTAAAAATTTTCTGTGCCTTGAAGTAAATCCAATCAGTTTTCCTACTCACTTAATTTCCTAATAACTAAATTTTCTGCTCTCACTATCTGGACTGTCTTGGGTCGACAGCCGCGACTCCAAGCCTTTTCAGATGGGGGGGGGGAATAGTCTGTAATGATATTTGTAAATCAGTTGAGTAAACTAAATTCTAATCATAATAGAATTAGTCCTATCAGTTGAGTAAACTAAATTCTAATCATAATAGAATTAGTCCTATCAGTTGAGTAAACTAAATTCTAATCATATTCCTTAATAACGTCTTGGTGATTCTTTACCTATATTGCATCCCTGTTCCTAAATTTTGGCAAAATCCTTTTTTTATTATAAATTATAACCTGTTGGCACCAGCCAAATCACCAAACTCAAATCTGTCATCCTTAAGAACACTCCTGATGAGAGGATAGCATCACCTCGTGATTTCAATTAATATCGCTGATTGGATGAGCACCATGATGCACACATATCTATAAATAAGGCTTCTCAAGGTACAGCTGGAAAGCTTGTGTTATGGATGCTAAAATAAACGTATGATTTTATATTATTCCAAAATTTGTCTCGTTCCTGTTGCCTCAGCTGCACAACACAAATAATGTATGAGATTATATATTTCATATATATATAGTAAATGCAAATTCAAATGTTCCTCAACATCTAATATATTTTGAAATTCTTGTGCAGCAGGTGGAAGATGTGGACAGCTCTGTCCTTCATCAGGACCATCCGGAACTCTGAACTCAGTGCCTGCATTAGTGAGCCAGAGCTCATCAGCTCCGTTCTTAAAAGAACATGCAGTTAAGTGGAGACCAGTGGTCTCCTTCAATTTTGCAATACTTTATTTATTAGAAGAAATAACATTAATATGAAATATCATAATTATGCATTTAAAACAGTAAGTCAGTACACATGAGTTCAACAATATTTTTTTAATTTTTTTATTAATCTTTAATCAGAGTTTGTATATGAGCATGCAGTGGAAATGCAGTTTGGCTTAGAGATCTTATTTTCTCTTTAAACTGTGTTTGTGTGCTCGATTCTTAATGGATTTATGTCTATACATGTCTTGTTTTTCATACTATTTATGTTTTCTATAGATTTTGCGAATGTGTATATACAGTCAAAAGTCGTTAAACCGGACACCCATAATCTGGAACCTCAAAGCTGCAAATTTTTTGCGCACGCGTTAATGGATAATGCATTGATGCATGCACGTAATACATTTACGCATGCGCGCGCATATGCGTGTACGCATGCGCATAATAGGTTTACGCATACGCGTTTAATGTATAACAGACGGTATAAGCTAAGCTAAAATTATCTAATTATCTATTTCAGTTAATGTTGCAGATTGCGTTGTTCCTTAATCTTCGAATTAGATCCGGCTTATTATTTTTTGCAGACTGTTAGAGCAATTTTATAAAAGTAAGTTGGCGATTATGTCAAATAGAATTTCTGATGCTGGAGCTGCAAAAGGATCTACAAAGGGAAAGCATGTTTCGATGTCCATCAGACAAAAGTGGAATTGCTGCAAAAAATGGAAAAGGGCTCCTTTGTTTCTCTAACCATTCTCAAATCTGTTTATCAATTTCACGCTGCTCTGCGTGGGGGGGGGACGTCGCGGCGTGCAATTAACTGGAAGTTGATCTGTCAGCACTATCCTTATCTTCAGGGCAGATGTTTTTATTTTATTCGGCCTATAATTCCTTACTAAATGTGGTATTTCATCTCAATGTACTCCATCTTTGATATGATTTAAATCAAAGTGCTCATCATTATAAATATCACGAATACAAATCAAATAGTTTTCTGGTTGCAATTTTCTAATTTCGACTATGCGTAATGTATGCTTTACGCATGCGTGCATTGAAAGAAATGTTTAATAAAGTAAAAAAATAAATATTAAGCCTTTTTTTTGTAAATTTTGCTCTTTAGATCATAATTGCTCTTTATTTCATAAATTATGGTTTCATATTTTTAATTTTATAATTTCTGCATGCCATCTTACCAGATTTAAACTGATCTCTAATCTGGAATTGCCGAAGTCCCAATGAGTCCGGATTAAAGACTTTTGACTGTATATATAGTAAATGCAATTTCAAATGTTCCTTAAGATCTACTGTACATATTTTGACTTTCCTGTGCAACAGGTGGAACACGTGAACAGACCTGTCCTTCATCAGAACCATCCGGAAATCTGAATGCAGTGGCTCCATTACTGAGGCAGAGTTCATCAGCTCCATTCTTAAAAGAATATGAAGGTGATGGAGACCAGTTGTCTTTTTAGATTCTGCAATACTTTATTTATTAGAAGAAATAACATTAATAGGAAATATAATTATGCATTTAAAACAATAAGTCAGTAAACATGAGTTCAACCATTTTTTACTAATCTTTAATCAGAGTTTGTGCGCGAGCATGCAGTGTAAATGCAGTTAGGCTTAGAAATCTCATTTTTGCTTAAAACTGTGTTTGTGTGCTAGATTCTCAATGGATTTATTTCTATACGTGTCTTGTTTTTCATACTGCAGTCAAATACCAGAAATCTGCCAACTCCTGAAATCCATGTTGCCCCTCAAAATATAAACATTTAGGTTATAGGATCTTGAAACTGCAACATGGAGTACAAATTATTGAAGAAAAAATACTTACTGGATAATGATGTCATAATAACCAAATAATAATGAGTCATAACAGAAACACCAAATTATTGACATCATGATAAAAGTTTTTTTCTCTCCATTCTGCACCAAGGTAAAAAAGCAGACAGTTAACTCTTCTTTCAAGTTCATGCTTCACCTTGTTGTACTTTCTGAGCTTTGTTATTTCACAAGAGAATAAAAAAATTATTATTATTTTTTTTTTATCCAGATATTTTGTGGAGAAAATAAGAGTATTTCAAATTTCAGCGCTTTTCAATACAATGACAGATAAGAAACGCACTTGTGATTTTACTGCTTGCAACTTTAAAAAGCGTAAACACGTTGCTTCTACAGTAATGAAAAAGTGGAAATTCTGCTAAAAATGGAGGCAGGTGCTACTGCTCGATTTATAGCAGAATCGTATGGAATTGCTACACGGAGTGTGTATGATATACGGAACAATAAAGAAAAGCTGTTGATATTTTACAGTAACAGTGATTCTAACACCGGAATCTAAAATCGGAAATCTTTAAATGTGGCGAAATCGGCCAACCTCGATGCCTGTCTTGTAGGAGTGGTTCTGGCAGCAGTGGAGTGATGGAGTATCTATTTCCGGACTACTCCTGAGAGAAAAGGGGAAGCAGATTCATGCTGTTTTAAAAATCACGGAGCCTAATGTAAATGAACAATATAATATAATCAGTTTATATATGTAATAATAATTTAATGCATATAATTAATTATTGTATTAATGTATATAATAATTTAATTAAATGTATCTAATACACCTTATTTATTTTGCACTTTTAGTCAGAATATTATCTTTTCTGTCCTGAAATCCACAAAAACCTAAAATTCACACAACCTCTGGTCTCGAGCATTGCGGATTTCTGGACTTCTGCTGTATGTTTTCTATAGTTTTTGAAAATGTATATCTATCTATCTATATATATATATATGTAGAATCGGTACTTACTGTCTAGGAATATGATGTCTGTAAACTTACTTCCGAAGTGGTTGTCTAGGGGCTTGAAATGATGAATCGGACTTATGAATAACTCGAATGTTTAATAGAAACATGAATAGCTGCTACAAACTACTAGATGATTACATATGAATAGCGAAATAGATGAGAATATTTACAGGTTGAAGAGAATTAACCGTCTTTTACATATACCACGTCTTTGGATATTGTCGTCGTCGTTCTGCTCTTACCAACGTCATTTTTCTGAATGATTGCGCAGTTCACTCTGTCTTAGCACTCGAGAGTCCAAAGCTCCTTTCTCCTATTACTTGGCTCTACATCTACCCGATGACGTTTTCCCATAACTGCTCGGCCTATTCTGACAGAATGCGGCCTCGCATTCTCGTAGTACCACCATCTACATCCCAGGGATCTGAAAAAAAAAAAATTCTTAGTTAGTATTTAGGGAAAAGTCGTCTTAAATGGTTTATTTCAGCCATCTTCCCTTATCATCTTAACATCTTCAGAAATAACAGCTTGATCTCTTCTTCAACATTCGTTTATCTTTAACAGTCTATTTGAATGCATGTATTTCCCAAACACGTCTTCCTTTCATGTTGTCTGAAACAATTTGTCTGAATTTGTCTTCGTATTTACGTCTCTTCTGACAGAATGCCTATTTTACAAATTCTGACAGAATGTCTATGACAGACGCCTATTCTGACAGAATGCGGCCTCGCATTCTCGTAGTACCACCATCTACATCTAGGGATCTGAAAAATAAAACTAAAAAAAAACCAATTATTTTTAATTAGTATTAAGGGAAAAGTCGTCTTAAATGGTTTATTTTAGCCATCTTCCCTTATCATCTTAACATCTTCAGAAATAACAGCTTGATCTCTTTTTCAATGTTCGTTTATCTTTAACAGTCTATCTGAATGCATGTATTTCCCAAAACACGTCTTCCTTTCATGTTGTCTGGATTCGTCTTTGTATTTACGTCTTTTTAAAAATCATCTGGATACATCTTCTGAATAAGTCTTCTTGAAGCCATCTTCTTTCTATACATTTCATCCTTAGACTCATCTTCATTGTTCTTAAAATAGTTCATTAGTCAAATTGGGAGAAATTTGTCAACTTGGGAAAAAGTCTATAATCAGGAATCATCAAAATTGGTATTTCATTATCAAAGCCTTTTGGTTTTCTTCCTGGATCTTCTGAATCTGCTTTTTCGCTTCTTTTTTCTCACTTTCTTTAATTTCTTTCCCTCCATCTTTGCTTTTCCGTATCAGCATCATTGCCATCAGGTTTTCTGATCAACTTCTGCTCTTCAATCTTCTCCTCTTTTTCGATGATCTCTGTAGTTTCTTCGTCTCCAGTGGCTTCTTTTGCTTCTCTATTGCAAGGTATTTAACTGAATTTGTTCTAGTAGAATTCACATTTGATTCATCATCTTTAGCAATTGATTCTTTTTCGGGAAAATGCTTCTCTTCAGAATATCCTTCTGCAGTGGTATTTCTCCTCGTTGGCTTCGAATCTGAGTGTATTATGTCTTCTTGATCTTCTTCTTCCACTAATTCATTGTTCACAGCATCACTTTCATTCACCACTCTGTAAAGCATGTCATTTTGTAAAGAATAATCTCCATATGGCTTAGACTTCAAAACTTCTTTTATAAATTTTATATTTTCATCAGTTCCTTGAGCTCGAATTATCTTAAATGTTATACCGTCTTGAATTACCATACATACAGGATTTCAACTAAGAGCATCCACATGTCTCATACACATGCCAGATCTGTGTTCGATTGTGTAATCAAAATCTTGTAATGTTAATGCCCATCTAGATATTTTATTACAAATGTCTTTCTTGCTCATAGTTTGTTTGAATGCATTACAATCTGTCATGATTTTAAACGGTATGTCTAATACGTACACCCTGAATTTTTTAAGAGTTCTACGACTGCTTTAACCTCTAATTCATAGCTCGAATATTTACATTCAATATCTGTCGTCTTTCTACTCCTATAATAAACCGGATGCATCTGATTATCAATTAAGGATTTCTGTAACAGAACCGCACCATAACCATCAGCACTAGCATAAGTGTGTATTTCGGTTTCTGCTTTCGGATTATAAATACACATAACAGGTTCAGATGTCAAGATGCTTTTAAATTTGTTAAAAGCATAAAGTTCTTTAGTTTTGAATTTAAATTTAGGATCTTTCTTCAGTAAATCACTAAGTGGTTTTGCAATTAACAGGTTCAGATGTCAAGATGCGTTTCAATTCGTTAAAATCATAAAGTTCTTTAGTTTCGAATTTAAATTTAGAATCTTTCTTCAGTAAATTGCTAAGCGGTTTTGCAATTCATGAATAATTAGGTATAAATTTTCTGAAGTAACCATTTAAACCTAAATAACTTTGAACATCTTTTACACACTTAGGTTCTGGAAAGTTAATTACTGCTTTTGTTTTAGAAGAAGAAGGATATAATTTCCCATCTTTAATTTTTTGTGTCCTAAAATTCGATTTCGCGCTTCAAAAATTGACATTTCTTAATGTTTAGTTCTAGTCCATATTCCGATGCAGTCTGTAATACGCGTTTCAATTTTTGAATTCCCTGAGCTTCATTTTCGGAAGGAATAATGATGTCGTCCATATAGATTACAACAATATTGTCCTTTAAAAGATCACGAAATATATCGTAGATGTATCTTTGGAAAACACTTGGGCTGTTAGCAAGACCAAACGGGACTTTCAAAAATTCATACTGCCCATTTTGCGTAACGAAAAATGTGTATTTTCTACTTTCGTCATCCAATTCAACATGAACCGTTCTTTAAATTTGCTGTTGTAAATACTATTGCTGCTTGTAATTTATCAATAACATCATCAATTAATGGCAGAGGAAAGCGACGCGAATTATTTTTTTATTCAGGCGCCGAAAATCTCACCAAAGTCTAAATGAGCCACATTTTTTTCTACTTAGCACAATATTACTTGCGTAATCAGAACAGCTTTGTTTTAATGATTTGTTTCTCCAACCACTCCGAAATCTGTTTATCAATTTCACGCTGCTCAGCTGAGGGGAAAACGTCGCGGCGAGCAATAAACCGGAAGTTGATCTGTCAGCACTATTCGCATCTTCAGGGCCAGATGTTTTTTATTCGGCTCATAATTCCTTACTAAGTGTAGTATTTCATCTTGATGTACTCCGTCTTTGATATGGCTTAATCAATTTCCTCTTTCCTCGTCATTATAAATATCACGAATGCACATCAAATAGTTTTCAGGTTGCAATTTTCTAATTTCGACTCCTTTTTTATTTACAGTTAATTCCCCTTGCCTTATAATATCAGTACCAATGATCGCTTGTAAAAACATTTCGTTTTCTGCGATAACACAATATTTGATCGAAATGAAAAATCGATTTCGAATTCACCTCAATTTTCCTATAGTTCATTAATTATGACCTAACTTAATTACATCTTGGCTCTTTAATCTTACTAGGTACAGCGCGTGTTTTATTTTGTGTGTTAGTACTTGAATAACCCTTATTTTTCGTATCTGGAACGCGAATTTTCTCATAAATTTTTAATTTCTCTTTGAATTCAGAAATAGTTTTACACCCGTACAAAACAATTTTGTTACTACTCTGATCTGGTATCCCATTGATTACATAATCAAGAATTGATGAATCATCATCAACAGAACCGCGACTGGCTATTTCACGCATGGCAATTAAATATTCGGAAAGTGATTCACCAGGTTTTAAGTGTCGTTTCTGTAACAAATTATGAAGTTGTGCACTGTTTATTTTAGAACCAAATTCAGATAAAAGATTTTCTTTTAATTTGTCCCATGATATTATACCTTTCAAAGACCTAATAAATACTTTAGCAGAACCAGTAAGCAATTTTTTAGCAAACACAATTTTCTGTAATTCCGATAACTTAAATAATTTAAAAGATTCTTCTAAATCACCAATGAAGGATTCAACTGGATATGTATCAGTGCCATTAAATTCAGAAACAGTTTCTAAGATATCACGAAAATGTAAGGAAAAATATTGCTAGGCATTATAATGTTTTCATCCATTGAGTTATTTATGGGAGGTGATTCTGACCGAACAGAATTAATATCATCATTTTTATCAGAATCATAAACACTTTCGTTTTCAGATAACTCATCATCGTCATCACTTTCGGATTTTAAAAGCTTAAAATCACAAAGACTATTCAATATTAAATCACAGTTTTTATCAGGATTTGAATCATAATTAAGATGTAACAAATTACACACAGAAATAAAATCATTTGCAGTAAGAGTTTTAAGTAATTTTTGTTTTGTTTCTTCAATATTAAAATCAGATGGAAAACCACAAAAGTTACGCAATCTAGCTCTATTTTTTCGATCACCCAAAGTTCCAAACACAATTTGATGTAAAAGTTTAATTGACTTAGTAGGCCCAGTCTTTAAAGAATTTGAAATTCTAGGAATAGAATTCAAGGTAGTCAGTCATCTTAATTCACAGTATCATAGAACACTATTCTTAGAAGTAACAATGTGGAAATAATCGAAACAAAACTTACTTCTCTTCTTTTGTAATATTCATCAATGCTTCTTCCTAGGCTCATCGCGGCCTGAGCGCCCAAATCTGTAGAATCGGTACTTACTGTCTAGGAATATGATGTTGTAAACTTACTTCCGAGTGGCTGTCTAGGGGCTAATAATAATCCGATTATGAATAACTTGAATATTTAATGAAACATGAATAGTTGCTACAAACTACAATTACATGAAAGGAAATAGATGAATATTTACAGGTGAAAGAATTAACAGTCTTACAAAATCTTTGGTATCGTCGTCGTTCCGCTCTTACCAACGTCCTTTTCCCGAATGATTGCGCAGTTCACTCTGTCTTAGCATTCGGAAGTCCAAAGGTCCTTTCTCCTACAGCTTGGCTCTACATCTGCTCGATGTATTCCCATATATATATATATATATATATATATGTAATTTTCAAAGTTCCGTGTTCTAAACATATTTGACTTTTCTGTGCAGCAGGTGGAAGAGAAAAGTTCTTCATCAGGACCATTCAGAAATACGAATGCAGTGTCTCCATTAGTGAGGCAGAGCTCATCAGCTCCATTCTTAAAAGAACGTGCAGGTAATGGAGTCCAATTCTCTTTTTAAATTTTGCAATACTTTTTTTATTAGAAGAAATATTAATATAAAATGTCATACTTATGCATATAAAACAGTAAGTTCAACCATTTATTAACAATCTTTAATCAGAATTTTTGTACAAGCATGCAGTGGAAATGCAGTTTGGCTTCGCGCTGCGATTCTTCCTTAAAAGTGTTTGTGTGCTAGATTCTTAATGGATTTATGTGTATATATGTCTTATTTTTCACAGTATTTATGTTTTGCATAATTTTTGCAAATGTGGATATACATATATAGTAAATGCAATTTCAAATTTTCCCTAAGATCTAATTTTCACATTTTCACTTTCTTGTGGAGCAGATGGAATAACTCAACATCTCTGTCTTTCATCAGCACCGTCACAAAGTCTCAACTCGGTGGCTGCATTAGGGAGGCAAAGCTCATCAGCTCCATTCTTAAATGCTCACTCAGGTAATGGAGACCAATTGTCTTCTTAGATTTTGCACTTCTTTATTTGTTAGAAGATATAACGTTAATATGAAATTTCATAATTATGCATGCATTTAAAACAGTTAGTACACATCAGTTCAACCATTTATTACTAATCTTTAATCAGAGTTTGTGTACAAGCATGCAGTGGAAATGCACTTTGGCTTAGAGCTCTCATTTTTTTGCTTAAAACAGTCTTTGTGTGCTAGATACCTAATAGATTTATGTTTATGGATGTCTTATTTTCACCCTATTTATGTTTTGAATAGTCTTTGAAAGTGTGTATATATATATAGTAAATGCAAATTCAAATGTTTTGTAAGATGTTATATACATATTTTGCCTTTCTTGTGCAGCAGTTGAAAGACCAGAACAGGTCCGTCCTTCATTAGGACTATCCGGAAATCGGAACTCAATGTGTGCATTAGGGGAGCAGAGCACGTCAACTCCATTCTTAAAAGAACGTGCAGGTAATGGAAACAAATTATCTCCTTAAATTTTGCAATACTTTATTTATTAGAAGAAATAACATTAATATGGGATGTCCTATTTGTGCAATTAAGACAGTAAGTCTGTGCACATCAGATCAAGTATTTATTCCTAATCTTTAATCAGAATTTGTGTTCAAGTAGGCAGTGGAATTGCAGTTTGGTGTAGAGCTCACGTTTTTGTTTAAAACTGTGTTTGTGTTCTAGATTCTTTATGAATTTATGTTTATGGATGTTTTTTTTTTTCGTACTATTTATGTTCTATATTGTTTTTAAAAATGTCTATATGTATAGTAAATACAAATTGAAATGTTTAGTAGCATGTAATATACATATTTTGTTTTTCTTGTGCAGCAGGTGCAAGACCAGAACAGGTCCATCCTTCATCAGGACCATCGGGAAATCGGAACTTGGTGGGTGCATTAGTAGAGCAGAGCTCATCAGCTTCATTCATAAAAGAACGTGCAGGTAATGGAGTCCAATTCTCTTTTTAAATTTTGCAATACTTTTTTTATTAGAATAAATAACATTAATATAAAATGTTGTACTTATGCACGTAAAACAGTAAGTTAGTGGACATCAGTTCAACCATTTATTAATAATCTTTAACCAGAGTTTGTGTACAAGCATGCAGTGGAAATGCAGTTTGGCTTCGCGCTGCGATTCTTCCTTAAAAGTGTTTGTGTGCTAGATTCTTAATGGATTTATGTGTATATATGTCTTATTTTTCACAGTATTTATGTTTTGCATAATTTTTGCAAATGTGGATATACATATATAGTAAATGCAATTTCAAATTTTCCCTAAGATCTAATTTTCACACATTTTCACTTTCTTGTGGAGCAGATGGAATAACTCAACATCTCTCTGTCTTTCATCAGCACCGTCACAAAGTCTCAACTCAACTCGGTGGCTGCATTAGGGAGGCAAAGCTCATCAGCTCCATTCTTAAATGCTCACTCAGGTAATGGAGACCAATTGTCTTCTTAGATTTTGCACTTCTTTATTTGTTAGAAGATATAACGTTAATATGAAATTTCATAATTATGCATTTAAAACAGTTAGTACACATCAGTTCAACCATTTATTACTAATCTTTAATCAGAGTTTGTGTACAAGCATGCAGTGGAAATGCACTTTGGCTTAGAGCTCTCATTTTTGCTTAAAACAGTCTTTGTGTGCTAGATACCTAATAGATTTATGTTTATGGATGTCTTATTTTCACCCTATTTATGTTTTGAATAGTCTTTGAAAGTGTGTATATATATATAGTAAATGCAAATTCAAATGTTTTGTAAGATGTTATATACATATTTTGCCTTTCTTGTGCAGCAGTTGAAAGACCAGAACAGGTCCGTCCTTCATTAGGACTATCCGGAAATCGGAACTCAATGTGTGCATTAGGGGAGCAGAGCACGTCAACTCCATTCTTAAAAGAACGTGCAGGTAATGGAAACAAATTATCTCCTTAAATTTTGCAATACTTTATTTATTAGAAGAAATAACATTAATATGGGATGTCCTATTTGTGCAATTAAGACAGTAAGTCTGTGCACATCAGATCAAGTATTTATTCCTAATCTTTAATCAGAATTTGTGTTCAAGTAGGCAGTGGAATTGCAGTTTGGTGTAGAGCTCACGTTTTTTGTTAAAACTGTGTTTGTGTTCTAGATTCTTTATGAATTTATGTTTATGGATGTTTTTTTTTTTCGTACTATTTATGTTCTATATTGTTTTTAAAAATGTCTATATGTATAGTAAATACAAATTGAAATGTTTAGTAGCATGTAATATACATATTTTGTTTTTCTTGTGCAGCAGGTGCAAGACCAGAACAGGTCCATCCTTCATCAGGACCATCGGGAAATCGGAACTTGGTGGGTGCATTAGTAGAGCAGAGCTCATCAGCTTCATTCATAAAAGAACGTGCAGGTAATGGAGTCCAATTCTCTTTTTAAATTTTGCAATACTTTTTTATAGAATAAATAACATTAATATAAAATGTTGTACTTATGCACGTAAAACAGTAAGTTAGTGGACATCAGTTCAACCATTTATTAATAATCTTTAACCAGAGTTTGTGTACAAGCATGCAGTGGAAATGCAGTTTGGCTTCGCGCTGCGATTCTTCCTTAAAAGTGTTTGTGTGCTAGATTCTTAATGGATTTATGTGTATATATGTCTTATTTTTCACAGTATTTATGTTTTGCATAATTTTTGCAAATGTGGATATACATATATAGTAAATGCAATTTCAAATTTTCCCTAAGATCTAATTTTCACATTTTCACTTTCTTGTGGAGCAGATGGAATAACTCAACATCTCTGTCTTTCATCAGCACCGTCACAAAGTCTCAACTCGGTCGCTGCATTAGGGAGGCAAAGCTCATCAGCTCCATTCTTAAATGCTCACTCAGGTAATGGAGACCAATTGTCTTCTTAGATTTTGCACTTCTTTATTTGTTAGAAGATATAACGTTAATATGAAATTTCATAATTATGCATTTAAAACAGTTAGTACACATCAGTTCAACCATTTATTACTAATCTTTAATCAGAGTTTGTGTACAAGCATGCAGTGGAAATGCACTTTGGCTTAGAGCTCTCATTTTTGCTTAAAACAGTCTTTGTGTGCTAGATACCTAATAGATTTATGTTTATGGATGTCTTATTTTCACCCTATTTATGTTTTGAATAGTCTTTGAAAGTGTGTATATATATATAGTAAATGCAAATTCAAATGTTTTGTAAGATGTTATATACATATTTTGCCTTTCTTGTGCAGCAGTTGAAAGACCAGAACAGGTCCGTCCTTCATTAGGACTATCCGGAAATCGGAACTCAATGTGTGCATTAGGGGAGCAGAGCACGTCAACTCCATTCTTAAAAGAACGTGCAGGTAATGGAAACAAATTATCTCCTTAAATTTTGCAATACTTTATTTATTAGAAGAAATAACATTAATATGGGATGTCCTATTTGTGCAATTAAGACAGTAAGTCTGTGCACATCAGATCAAGTATTTATTCCTAATCTTTAATCAGAATTTGTGTTCAAGTAGGCAGTGGAATTGCAGTTTGGTGTAGAGCTCACGTTTTTGTTTAAAACTGTGTTTGTGTTCTAGATTCTTTATGAATTTATGTTTATGGATGTTTTTTTTCGTACTATTTATGTTCTATATTGTTTTTAAAAATGTCTATATGTATAGTAAATACAAATTGAAATGTTTAGTAGCATGTAATATACATATTTTGTTTTTCTTGTGCAGCAGGTGCAAGACCAGAACAGGTCCATCCTTCATCAGGACCATCGGGAAATCGGAACTTGGTGGGTGCATTAGTAGAGCAGAGCTCATCAGCTTCATTCATAAAAGAACGTGCAGGTAATGGAGTCCAATTCTCTTTTTAAATTTTGCAATACTTTTTTATTAGAATAAATAACATTAATATAAAATGTTGTACTTATGCACGTAAAACAGTAAGTTAGTGGACATCAGTTCAACCATTTATTAATAATCTTTAACCAGAGTTTGTGTACAAGCATGCAGTGGAAATGCAGTTTGGCTTCGCGCTGCGATTCTTCCTTAAAAGTGTTTGTGTGCTAGATTCTTAATGGATTTATGTGTATATATGTCTTATTTTTCACAGTATTTATGTTTTGCATAATTTTTGCAAATGTGGATATACATATATAGTAAATGCAATTTCAAATTTTCCCTAAGATCTAATTTTCACATTTTCACTTTCTTGTGGAGCAGATGGAATAACTCAACATCTCTGTCTTTCATCAGCACCGTCACAAAGTCTCAACTCGGTGGCTGCATTAGGGAGGCAAAGCTCATCAGCTCCATTCTTAAATGCTCACTCAGGTAATGGAGACCAATTGTCTTCTTAGATTTTGCACTTCTTTATTTGTTAGAAGATATAACGTTAATATGAAATTTCATAATTATGCATTTAAAACAGTTAGTACACATCAGTTCAACCATTTATTACTAATCTTTAATCAGAGTTTGTGTACAAGCATGCAGTGGAAATGCACTTTGGCTTAGAGCTCTCATTTTTGCTTAAAACAGTCTTTGTGTGCTAGATACCTAATAGATTTATGTTTATGGATGTCTTATTTTCACCCTATTTATGTTTTGAATAGTCTTTGAAAGTGTGTGTATATATATATAGTAAATGCAAATTCAAATGTTTTGTAAGATGTTATATACATATTTTGCCTTTCTTGTGCAGCAGTTGAAAGACCAGAACAGGTCCGTCCTTCATTAGGACTATCCGGAAATCGGAACTCAATGTGTGCATTAGGGGAGCAGAGCACGTCAACTCCATTCTTAAAAGAACGTGCAGGTAATGGAAACAAATTATCTCCTTAAATTTTGCAATACTTTATTTATTAGAAGAAATAACATTAATATGGGATGTCCTATTTGTGCAATTAAGACAGTAAGTCTGTGCACATCAGATCAAGTATTTATTCCTAATCTTTAATCAGAATTTGTGTTCAAGTAGGCAGTGGAATTGCAGTTTGGTGTAGAGCTCACGTTTTTGTTTAAAACTGTGTTTGTGTTCTATATTGTTTTTAAAAATGTCTATATGTATAGTAAATACAAATTGAAATGTTTAGTAGCATGTAATATACATATTTGTTTTTCTTGTGCAGCAGGTGCAAGACCAGAACAGGTCCATCCTTCATCAGGACCATCGGGAAATCGGAACTTGGTGGGTGCATTAGTAGAGCAGAGCTCATCAGCTTCATTCATAAAAGAACGTGCAGGTAATGGAGTCCAATTCTCTTTTTAAATTTTGCAATACTTTTTTATTAGAATAAATAACATTAATATAAAATGTTGTACTTATGCACGTAAAACAGTAAGTTAGTGGACATCAGTTCAACCATTTATTAATAATCTTTAACCAGAGTTTGTGTACAAGCATGCAGTGGAAATGCAGTTTGGCTTCGCGCTGCGATTCTTCCTTAAAAGTGTTTGTGTGCTAGATTCTTAATGGATTTATGTGTATATATGTCTTATTTTTCACAGTATTTATGTTTTGCATAATTTTTGCAAATGTGGATATACATATATAGTAAATGCAATTTCAAATTTTCCCTAAGATCTAATTTTCACATTTTCACTTTCTTGTGGAGCAGATGGAATAACTCAACATCTCTGTCTTTCATCAGCACCGTCACAAAGTCTCAACTCGGTGGCTGCATTAGGGAGGCAAAGCTCATCAGCTCCATTCTTAAATGCTCACTCAGGTAATGGAGACCAATTGTCTTCTTAGATTTTGCACTTCTTTATTTGTTAGAAGATATAACGTTAATATGAAATTTCATAATTATGCATTTAAAACAGTTAGTACACATCAGTTCAACCATTTATTACTAATCTTTAATCAGAGTTTGTGTACAAGCATGCAGTGGAAATGCACTTTGGCTTAGAGCTCTCATTTTTGCTTAAAACAGTCTTTGTGTGCTAGATACCTAATAGATTTATGTTTATGGATGTCTTATTTTCACCCTATTTATGTTTGAATGAATAGTCTTTGAAAGTGTGTATATATATATAGTAAATGCAAATTCAAATGTTTTGTAAGATGTTATATACATATTTTGCCTTTCTTGTGCAGCAGTTGAAAGACCAGAACAGGTCCGTCCTTCATTAGGACTATCCGGAAATCGGAACTCAATGTGTGCATTAGGGGAGCAGAGCACGTCAACTCCATTCTTAAAAGAACGTGCAGGTAATGGAAACAAATTATCTCCTTAAATTTTGCAATACTTTATTTATTAGAAGAAATAACATTAATATGGGATGTCCTATTTGTGCAATTAAGACAGTAAGTCTGTGCACATCAGATCAAGTATTTATTCCTAATCTTTAATCAGAATTTGTGTTCAAGTAGGCAGTGGAATTGCAGTTTGGTGTAGAGCTCACGTTTTTGTTTAAAACTGTGTTTGTGTTCTAGATTCTTTATGAATTTATGTTTATGGATGTTTTTTTTTTCGTACTATTTATGTTCTATATTGTTTTTAAAAATGTCTATATGTATAGTAAATACAAATTGAAATGTTTAGTAGCATGTAATATACATATTTTGTTTTTCTTGTGCAGCAGGTGCAAGACCAGAACAGGTCCATCCTTCATCAGGACCATCGGGAAATCGGAACTTGGTGGGTGCATTAGTAGAGCAGAGCTCATCAGCTTCATTCATAAAAGAACGTGCAGGTAATGGAGTCCAATTCTCTTTTTAAATTTTGCAATACTTTTTATTAGAATAAATAACATTAATATAAAATGTTGTACTTATGCACGTAAAACAGTAAGTTAGTGGACATCAGTTCAACCATTTATTAATAATCTTTAACCAGAGTTTGTGTACAAGCATGCAGTGGAAATGCAGTTTGGCTTCGCGCTGCGATTCTTCCTTAAAAGTGTATGTGTGCTAGATTCTTAATGGATTTATGTGTATATATGTCTTATTTTTCACAGTATTTATGTTTTGCATAATTTTTGCAAATGTGGATATACATATATAGTAAATGCAATTTCAAATTTTCCCTAAGATCTAATTTTCACATTTTCACTTTCTTGTGGAGCAGATGGAATAACTCAACATCTCTGTCTTTCATCAGCACCGTCACAAAGTCTCAACTCGGTCGGCTGCATTAGGGAGGCAAAGCTCATCAGCTCCATTCTTAAATGCTCACTCAGGTAATGGAGACCAATTGTCTTCTTAGATTTTGCACTTCTTTATTTGTTAGAAGATATAACGTTAATATGAAATTTCATAATTATGCATTTAAAACAGTTAGTACACATCAGTTCAACCATTTATTACTAATCTTTAATCAGAGTTTGTGTACAAGCATGCAGTGGAAATGCACTTTGGCTTAGAGCTCTCATTTTTGCTTAAAACAGTCTTTGTGTGCTAGATACCTAATAGATTTATGTTTATGGATGTCTTATTTTCACCCTATTTATGTTTTGAATAGTCTTTGAAAGTGTGTATATATATATAGTAAATGCAAATTCAAATGTTTTGTAAGATGTTATATACATATTTTGCCTTTCTTGTGCAGCAGTTGAAAGACCAGAACAGGTCCGTCCTTCATTAGGACTATCCGGAAATCGGAACTCAATGTGTGCATTAGGGGAGCAGAGCACGTCAACTCCATTCTTAAAAGAACGTGCAGGTAATGGAAACAAATTATCTCCTTAAATTTTGCAATACTTTATTTATTAGAAGAAATAACATTAATATGGGATGTCCTATTTGTGCAATTAAGACAGTAAGTCTGTGCACATCAGATCAAGTATTTATTCCTAATCTTTAATCAGAATTTGTGTTCAAGTAGGCAGTGGAATTGCAGTTTGGTGTAGAGCTCACGATTTTGTTTAAATCTGTGTTTGTGTTCTAGATTCTTTATGAATTTATGTTTATGGATGTTTTTTTTTCGTACTATTTATGTTCTATATTGTTTTTAAAAATGTCTATATGTATAGTAAATACAAATTGAAATGTTTAGTAGCATGTAATATACATATTTTGTTTTTCTTGTGCAGCAGGTGCAAGACCAGAACAGGTCCATCCTTCATCAGGACCATCGGGAAATCGGAACTTGGTGGGTGCATTAGTAGAGCAGAGCTCATCAGCTTCATTCATAAAAGAATGTACAGGTAATGGAGTCCAATTCTCTTTTTAAATTTTGCAATACTTTTTTATTAGAATAAATAACATTAATATAAAATGTTGTACTTATGCACGTAAAACAGTAAGTTAGTGGACATCAGTTCAACCATTTATTAATAATCTTTAACCAGAGTTTGTGTACAAGCATGCAGTGGAAATGCAGTTTGGCTTCGCGCTGCGATTCTTCCTTAAAAGTGTTTGTGTGCTAGATTCTTAATGGATTTATGTGTATATATGTCTTATTTTTCACAGTATTTATGTTTTGCATAATTTTTGCAAATGTGG